TTGATGGTTCAATAGACTCTAGACAGACAGACAGACAGAGAGAGACAGAGACAGAGACAGAGACAGAGACAGAGACAGAGACAGAGACAGAGACAGAGACAGAGACAGAGACAGAGAGACAGAGAGACAGAGAGACAGAGAGACAGAGAGACAGAGAGACAGAGAGACAGAGAGACAGAGAGACAGAGACAGAGAGAGAGACGGAGAGACAGAGAGACAGACAAACAGACAGACAGACGGACGCCGACGGACGGACCGACAGACGGACAGACGGACGGACGGACAGACAGCAGACACACTCACACGCACACCCACGCGCACACACGCGCGCACGCGTGCGCGCGCACGTTCGCACGCACGCACACGGGCACGTGCGCGCACACACACAGGCGCGTGCGCACGGACATACATGTATACTTTTCTATAAACAGATATCAGGTGATATACGTCTTTTTTATAATTTGCATAATTTTTACATATTTTTACGCATACATCTTGGCACAAGATACACATGTACTGTGTGTATCTTGTCCCTCCTATACATGCCTGGAACATGTCATGCGCAGACGTTCTAGATCCAGCATGAATACTGTCCTAGCTCGGTTTTGACACCTTCGGAGGTGGAGACGGTTGGGACGATTTCGATTTTGACGTGGAAACGGCCGCTCCGACCACAACAGCAACTTGATCTGTGGCAGTCAGTAGTTCCGAAGTTGCTCGGGGTCATTCTCGTCACACAATTAGTCTCAGAGAGCCGTCTTCGGATGCCCTGGCGCGAGCAAAGTTCAGGTTCACAGCAGACCTTGGCAGGAAACACCCCTCAAATGTCGAGTTTGGAATGCTACCGAAGTCTGCAGTTGGCGAGACAGGCAGCAAAAGCCGATGCTGGCCTTGATGCAGAGGCAGAGGACGAAGGCACGCTGAGAGACGATCATGGTTAGGTCCGGTTTGGTGTGTCTTAACGACAGTTCCGATCATCGCCGCACCAGCTCGTTTCCTCCTTGTAGTTTCTTGTGGGCACAAGGTGGGGATGGCTGGGCAAACGACTTGGACCTCGGCCTCTCGACGTGTGCAATCAAGTTTCGTTTGTCGCCCTCTTGGTCTTTGTCATGTTGCTTCAGAATTCTGTTGGCATGCTCTGCAAAGGAGATGCCGGCCTCACTTTGGGAGCAGCTCATCTCAAGGGTAACGGCCGAGTGATTTGCTGTTGAAATGGGTTTGAGCCCAAGCAGTGGGCAGAGCTGCCATCTAAGTTGGGCATGTCGACCAAAGCGCCTGAATCGGCAGCTCAACAACATAGTCAATATAAGGTTCACGGATGAAATTCATGGAAGGATTGTACCTGTAGTCAAGGCTGCCTGCGACAGAACGATAAGATCCGTTGATGGGATCCTCCTCCTGTTTTGTTAGATCCATTGTGCGAGGGCTTAACATCTCGTAAACTTGGGCATCCCCAAGGACACAGGTGGTCCGCAGGTCTTCGACATGGCCATGGACGACGACCTTGCGCAGGATATCGAAATGCAGGTCGCAAGGTTTTGCGAGGTCATTGCTCAGGGCAGGTTCACCTGTTCAACTCGGAGGATTGTTGTCCGTTCCGTCTTCCAACTAGCTGCCTGAGGAGGCCACAATGAACGGTGATGAGAAAGCCCCGATGGACGCGCTGCAGGCAACATCATGCATGCGCATGCGCCCTGGTCTAGCGCAGAGCATGTCCACCTGTGCGTTCGTGCCGCTTATTCCGGCAGGCTCGAATTGCGGAGCTGGAGGGCCAGCTTGTCCAAACTCAAGATGTGGCTTGGCAGTTTCCAGTCATTGAGAGGGCCTTGATAGGAACAACCTGAAATAAAACGATGGTCCGCTGCACGGCCGAAGAGGCCACGAACCAGCCCACAGAAGTGCAAACACAAGGATCCCGGTGGCATCGGTCAGAGCAGTCTTAACGCACGAGCCTGCTCGGCGTTCTGCACAGTCTGTGTGCAGGCGGAGCGCGAGTCCGCCCTCAAGGCACAAGCGGCCGTCGCGCAGCTTCAGCAAGAAGTCCAGCGGCTGCGAGCAGAAGCTGCGGAGGCACCGCACCGCACGACATGTTGCGTGCAAGTTACCCTTGACGGCAAAAACAAGGCGCAAACTGCAACTGCCGCCCAAGATGCCGCTGGTTCTGCAGAGCTGCAGGAGGAGGTGAACCGTTTGAAGTCCGAGATCGCCCAGGCTGGGCCGACTGCAGGGCCCGAACCGCTGCAGCGCAGGGGAACCCGAAAGCCTGTTCAGGTGCCGGAATTGCAAGCAGCCGCCGAGAAGCTGCAGCTGGAAGTCGAGAGACTCACAGCCGAAGCAGTGGAGGTCCCGATCTCAGAACTTCAGGACCTCAATTAAATTATAATTAGTGGAGCAGGTTTGTACATGTCAGCAAGAAATCTTCCACCTATTCCGTCTATGCTCTATAGGTGTGCTGACAGGACCTGTCAAATCTTCCCAGTGGGAGTCGAAAGGGAGTGTTGTCGGCCCAACCTGTATGCTTGAAAAACTGACTGGTGACTGGCACTCCCTGATTCGCGACATGCGTTGCATTACCTTGTATGTACAGGAGAACCGTTCTTCGCTGAGTAGTTAAATCAAGGTACTGTATAGTCTGTGCCTGAGGTGCCAGCGTTGAAGGTGCAGATCGCCGAGGCGGAGGCACGATCTCCCAGCCGTGCACACTTGTGACGGGGGCGAAAGCCAGCGTCCCTGTGGTGTCAAGGCACAGCGCGCAGCTGCCTTGCAAGATGCTGCGGGCATGGCCGAGCTTCAGCAGCAGTTGGACCGGCTTCGGTCCGAAGCTTCGGAGGCCGACGGGAATCTGACGGGAGATCGTGCCCCCCGTGGTGAGACAGCAAACGCTCATATCATTTTCACGGCCTCCGCTGCGCAGGTGCCCCATCTGCGGTCCAGGCTGGCGCAGCTCGAGGTAGCTCGGACGTGAAACATGAGTGTAGACGACAGCTGCGAAGCCTGCCATCCAGTGAGTGGGAGTGGGACCCGCGCCCACACCCCTGTCTGCGCGATGCAGCAACAGACCCAATCATGTTTTGCCATGTCTCATGAACTCACGTGAAATTTGAAATCCAGTTTCGATCGTTGCTCGCCTGAGTGCCCCTTGCCACAAATCGGCAGAAACTAAGGCTCCCGCACCTGTGGCAGCTTTCGCAGCGCCCGCCGCTGTCAGCGCAGGCAGTCCAAGCTGCAGCCTGGTACAGACTCCAGTGGCAAAGATGAGATGAGTGCTTAATGGACGTTCCTAGACAATGGGATGCTTGCTTTAAGCCAAGGAAGTTGAAGCCACAGCAGGGGTTTCGGGAGAATCGGTCATGTATGTTTTGTTGTTGTTGTTCGCCAGAGGAAGTATGAAGTGTGCAACACTTACAGAACGTTTTCGAACCGCTGCATGGACGAATGAGCTTGCCTCACGTTTTTGCCGCACTCTGGAGCATACATGGCAAACTCTTTTCAATCTTTTCAGACAAGGGGAGAGTGAGATCTAGGTGTTGGCTGGCCAGCTCATGGAACAAGTGAAGCAAGTGGCAGATTATTATTATTGTATAGCCCAGGATTTGGCAACACGTGCAGTATGGTTTGGCTTTGTAGCTTGGAAGAGTGCGTAAGCACAACAGTGGAGGGCGAGCTTGCAAGACAATAACGAACCGGCGGGATTTTTCTGCATGACGGCTTGCGTCTCCATAAGATACATGCGATTATGTTTGTCATGCTGCATTTAGATCTTATTGATGTGATCGCCTCTGCTATACCTGTGTAAGCAGTTGAATATCAAACGATTGAGTATCAAAACTGCTTGCACGTGTTTTTGTCTGTGTGTGTAGACACACATATCTACATCAACAAATAAATGTATATGTGCGAATACTTACATATACCTAAAAAGGTACAGTTACATATGTGCATGTGTATATATATATACACGTATATACATAAAAAAATATGCAGACAGATTTATATGAATGCTTGTGTCTGTGCATATATGTATATACACACATGCTCATGCACGTGCTGCTGCAAGAACAACTTGCATGATGGGATAGCCGGCTCTTGTCACCATGGAGGTGCAGATGGTTGGGACGATTTCGATTTCGATATGGAGACGCCCGCCCCTGCCACTGCAGCAGCTTAGCAGCACTTCACCAGGATCGTTTGCCTGAAAAATTGCCCATCAAAATTTTCGAAGAACGCTGATCATACTTCTGCATCCAGACGCAGCTTCGATGCAGTATACCCGCGAGGCAGTGAGCGCTGATGCTGGCCTTTGTGCAGAGGCAGAGGATGAAGGCACGTTGAGCGATAATCATGGTTAGGTGGTCACACGTTGATATCTGTCCGCGTGGCGGCGGGCCTCTATGTTTTAGGGTCTACACGGCAAGTGCTGCAAATTGTGCGACTTCGGGCGTGTGGCTGTGGAAATGGAGGGATTCG